TGATTATGGACCTCCTCGAGACTACTATCGTTCCAACCAAAGACCCCATCAAGCGCCCGTTGGACAAAATCTCCACTTGGGGAGATAATGATGCCCAATTGCTGAAAAATATTAGGATTGATTGATGCCTCATCCTTTGATGGCACCCTAGACCCTTTAGTTTTCCTAGATTGGCTCGAGGGTATGGATAGTTACTTCAAGTGGTATAATATCTTAGAAGCGAGAAAAGTGCGATTTGCTGAAATGAAGTTGACGGGTAGGACTAGTCAGTACTGGACTAACCTCGAACACATGCGTGAAACCAAGGGCCTACCTGCCATCTCTAGTGCTTTCCAGTTAATGTGCAGCTGTCCTTTCAAACATCGTTGCCTTCTGGCTGCAGCAAGCCAAGATATCTGCCTCTAGGAGACTCATTAGCACACCTACTTTCAGTAGCAACAAGCTTATAAGGTAATGGAACATTTCTTGCCAACTCAAGGGAGAAATGAGTGACGATCCATCTTTTCCATTTTTAGTCCGATCGTTCCATTTTTAGTCGGATCGTCATGGACATGATTGTAAGTATATTGATAGTAGGCTTATTGCCACTGTTTTATTGGAGTTTAGATAGTTACCTAAGTTTTTCTAGAAGTTTAGGCCATCTTATTGTCAGATTCATCTTGCTAATAATCTGAGTTCTACTTTTGCACTACTCTTTGTCTCTCTCTATATATTTTTTTGCTTTTCTGTATTATATGATTACCTCACACATATGTGCAATGTTCAAAAATATTTTTTTTCTGTCTATTATAGACCTATCACAATTAGCTTTAATATACGCCTCTATAATTTTAATAGTCTCCTTTCTTTTAAAAAAAATCTCCTTTCAAGGCTTTCGTCTTGGTATTTGAAAATACCAGTGATAGCATTTATGTGTTATTTATAAAGTGCATGCATGAACTAACTTAATAAACTGATAATAAAGATTATGTCAGGTCTGCATTGAGTTAAATATGTGATTTCATTCTCCAACTTTTGATATTTCCTTTATCCATATGAGAACTAGTGCTAATATCACTCAAATTTAATATTTAGAATCTATATGAGTAATGATTGGTTTGGTTTCAGTTAATTAAATTAGTTTCTTTTAAGAGATATTGGAATTACTCTCTTTCAGAAATAGCGATGCTAGATTTGTTCATAAATATTTTCATTTCAACGAACAGAGTTGCAAAGGTCTTTAATTTCAAATTCTCATGCTTGTTTCTTCTATAGACTCATCTCCAAATCATGATCTTTTGTAATGCCATCAACATATATAATTAATATGGTAGACATATTATATTTATATAACAAGGTATGGTCAGAGTGAACTTGTTTGAACCCCTGTTGACTTACAGCTTATATAGATCTTTCAAATTAGTCTTGAGGAGATTGTTTGAGTCCATAAATAGATTATATTTTTATTTTCAAATTAAGCTCGTCTTCCCATGGTCATTGATCATTGGAGGACGGTACCTGTAGAATTCTTTATTTAGCTCATCATTCAAGAATGCATTTTTAATATATAGGCCAATCAAAGTTTCACTATAGGAAGAAATGCTTTCGAATGCTTGATCCTGTAAGTTTTGGTTGGTGGTATTAGTTGGTTGGAGAGTTTCAAAAAAAAAAAAGTTTTCTTCTATCTCCCACTTAAAGGAATTTTTTTTGTAAAAATGGTTATTCTTAAAGGTGGCATTAATGGATACAAATGTTTTCTTTTTTAAAGGAAAATAGTATGGGTATCCTACTGTCCTTTGTTGTTTGCTCCATACCCAAGAAAGATATGTTTTAAGGCTTCAGAAATATGATTATTTCTATTAAGTTTATGATTACGGATGAAGGCACTACAAACAAAACTAGGGCTGCAAGCGAACCAAACGTTCGACGAGCTACTCGTTCAGTTCGATTAAAGCTCTTTTGTGATCGTTTAATTAACTAAACGAACAAACTTGAACAATATTTTAAATACTCGATCTTAAATAAACAAACTTGAACACTAATGCGTTCGACTCATTTATGTTCGCGAACAACATCATTTGAAGTTCGTGAACAAGCTTGACATTAAGCTCGATAAGAAGCTCGATTTGTGTTTGGTTTTGAACTCGTGAATAAGCTCGATAAAAATAATTAATATTTGACTATAGAATTAATAAATATAAATAATCATTGTCTTTGTTACATAGACAATTGCTTTTATTATAAATGCGTTTGTTCATAGATATGTTCATGAACGTGTTTATTTGATAGTTAAAAAAAATTCGTTAAATATGTTCGCGAACAAGCTCGATAAGCACTAAATGAACGGACATGAACTGAACATGAACCGAACATGAACACTCATTAATTTAAATGAACCAAACATGAACACAAACAATAAAGTTCAAACAAACATGAACCAAACTTGAACAAGCTGATATTAAATGAACACAAACATGAACACTCACATACTCGGCTCGGCTCAGTTCGTTTGCAGCCCTAAACAAAACCCTTAAGGGAAGACTTGAAATAGTATGTGTTTGGAAAGCATTCCAAAAATATGTCAATTGGAGTTTTGAATTGAAGTACATTAGGAGGAGGATGATTTATTATGTAATAGGTAGTAAGAATGGCATCACCTTAGCAAGCATGGTACCTGATTCCTATATTTTTGAAGAGTTAAAGGTGATGAAATCGACGATTAAGTTGTTGTCCAGGTTGCTTCGGATATTACCTTTGTGGTCGCTTCGCTGATGAGGAAAACAAAGTCATTTGCTGCTACTTGGGCTCTCAATTTCCTTTTTAACTAAAACGAGAACAACTCCCAACTAGCTCTTAGTTTGGGAGAAAAGGACAACTAAAAAGGCAAAACAACATCAACCCCTTTCCTTTAGTTCTCGGTTTGGCTGAAATGCACGGAAAAATGAACTCCAGCAGCCTCGTTTTCTCCTAGGCCAAAGAAAGAAGCCAACTGAGCCCTTCTCAGCTCCGAGTCATGCAAGATAGCCTCTAGATCTCTCAGTTTGGAGGGGTTGCACGCAAGAGAGAGACGAGAACGAGGGCCTGCATGCTCGGTTTACAAAGTCACACATGAAATAGGGGCATGTTGTCCTTGACTTTGCTCTCAGTCGCACATGAGAAGCTACCGGGCTCTAAGGATCGCTCGCACAAGCTTGGTCCTCTTTGTACTGCATGCATGAAGAAGCTTCTTCGCCTTTTTCGCTCGGCTTTGACTCTAGGCATGCATGCTCTCAGCATGCAGGAGGGTCCCCAGTCGGTTTTATATGTTGCTTATTCGGTCCCAGGCAGCGCGCACGAAAGGCCCTCAACCAAAATCTCCCAGCTCCCTGTCTTTTTATGGACACACGCTAGAATGAAACCCCCAGCTCTCTTCTCTCGCTCGATTTCATATGCCCGGAACAAAGTAGCTGACTTGACTTGATTACCTGCGATTTCCCCTCCCTCGAGCCACACTAAGTCACAGGAAATCCAGGAAAACGATGGAATGGAAGTAGCGATCAATTTAAGAAAATCTTAATTGTCGATTTGGTTTCTTGATTTGGAAAATTGGTTTGGGTTTAAATTGAATCAATTAGGCTTGATTGAGTTCAATACGGGTTTGATTTGAGTTGATTTGGGTTCAATTGGGCTTAATTTGGGTCCGATTAGATTTTAATGAGGCTCGATCAAACTGATCGAGATAGATCGAATTTTTCGAGCTCAATGGAATTGATTGAGCTTGATAAAACCCATTTGGGCTCAAATCAGCTCGATTGTCAATGAATCGACACAAAAATGCATCAACAAGATGATAAAATCCCTATGAGCGAAACAATAGACATAACAACAAGTGCTTTCTTGCAAATCTGCAACGCCCAAAGCAGCCAAGTAAGAAATCTAGGTGTTGTCCAGCTTTGAAGACACTAACTTGGCGACCTCCGGGCCTTCTCCAGAACTGCTCAGTTAATGTGCAGCTGTCCTGTTAAACATGGTTTCCTGCCAGCTGTAGCAAGCCAAGATTTCCTCCACTGGGAAACCTGCCTGCAAGCCAAATTTTTGCCCCCGTGTGTTCTGTACATTAAATAGCTGCATGCATGAAAGGTAATGAAATGTTTGTTTCCAATTCCAGAGAGAAACGTCAACAGTGAATCAATATTCAGTAGTTACACTTGAAGTCATAATGGATGTGATTGATGGAGTTATGATCAGCATAAGAAAGCTTCATAGTAACAAGAATGCATATTGCTGCTAGCTTGCAGATGGTTTCTTTTATTTGTGGAGAAAGTCAACTTATATGTGAAGTAAAACCCAACTATTAGGAAAATAAAAAGCTTTAGATAGAAGGTGCTTAGCAGCAGCAACATGCTTTTCGGTTTTGCATAGAAGGTGCTTAGCATCATAAAAAAATAATAGTTGTTATCTTGGTGGAAAATTTACTTTGATAAACTCGTGATGTTAGAATCTGAAGTCACGCATGTTATGTTTAAGTAATTTCGATTTGACAGGGAAACTAAGAACTTAGATAAATTGGATAAATTTGAAAGAAAGAACTAACAGAGAAACATTTGAGATAAGCATGGTGAGAAAAACTATTAAGGATTGGGTATTAAAGTAGGTTGAGATATCGTGTTCTTTCTTAGTGGAAAAGGGAAAGAACCATGGCTCGGGAGCTAGCATTTCTGTTAATGGTCCAGGGAAAAATTCAGGGAAGAAAAAGGTTGAAGACAAAATTACCATGTATTTAGTAGTTGGGAAAATGGTTTGCTAAAGTAAAACTATCACTAAATGAACAATCAGCATAAATCTAATGAAACTAATGGTTTCTGGTCACCCGGAAATACTGTTGAAATTTTTTTTTTCCTTATCGAAATATATATTTCCCAAGATATTTTCGTATATCATGGGTTTTCCTCAGATAAACCCATAGATTTTAGTCCAGAATTACATTATTACATTCCTTGTCTACTTGTAACTTAAACTGTTTTACTGTATATTTCTTTCAGATCAGTAAATGATCGCCAAAGAGAATTACTGGAGGAATTTGCTACGGAGGAAGCAAATCAAGAAAATTATGAATTTACCAATGGAAAGTGGTAAGTTAAGTAATAGAATTTTGATTTTTAAGTGTAAATTGCTTAGAAAGCTGTAATTTATATAGTTATTTTTCTAAGATATGGCTTTTTTTTTCTTCAAGTTATCAATCTTGTTTATGACTTGTCATTAAAATTACACTTGTTTCACGGGTCCAATAGGGTTTATAGACCTATCTTTTTGTCATTCTAAACCTGTTTTTTAAAAGCATGCCCTAAGGTATCTCAATTTAACATCTTATACAAGTATACTGATAAGTAATCTGCAAAAATGTATTAACTTAATAATGATTTTTGATGTATTCTTACTATAATTGAGAATTTTTTGGTTTTTAGCCATTGTTGAAGAAAAAAATGTGCTTGTAGGAGGGTCTCCTTATTCATAACAGAGCAACTGAACATAATATTTTAAGTTACAACAAAATAAAAATAGCCCACTAATTATAGATAAGAAACTTTCCTAAATTATATGGCATTGCTAACAGTACTTAGAGCATATATATCAACAAGCTTAGCTTATTACATAGTTTGAAAATTTGAGGTGGATACAAAGCTTTGGTAAATATTTTTTTGAGATGTTCTTAGCTGGAAACATAAAGATTAACGATCTTCTTTTGACAACACAGCATCCCGAATACAGTAACAAAAAACAGTATATTTGATTCTTTCATAATACATAGGATTATTGGCAATGCAGATGTCAGCACAATTCTCACAATTTATGACCAGAAATTGTCCAATTAGAAAACCAAAATCTCCGAGGGTTTTAGCTCATATCATTTTGCATGAAGAGTGTGTCATGACTCTATATTCTGCCTCAGTGTTTGATTTGGCTAATATTTGTTTATTTTTAACTATTTCAAGTGGACAAATTATATCTCACAAATATGCATGACCCAAATGTGAATTTTCTACCAACTGATTTACCATATTCAACATAAGAAAATGCTTCCATATTAAGGTGCCCATGTTTAATGTTCTATATTCCTACCCCTTGTAACTTTTTGATATATTGAAGGACAATATCTTTTAAATGTTTTATTCTTTTTGAGTTTCCATGTGGTTGACTCAGCTCTTACAACAAAGCGGATTTCAGATCATGGCATAGTAAGATAGATTAATTTATCAACCAAGCCGGGATAATCAGACATTCTAAAAATTGTCTTTATTAACAACATTGTGTGATCTCAACATATTTTGGTGATTCCTCCACAACAACACTTTCTATCTCTTAAATTATGGTAACAACCGCTAAATCAGTTATAATACTCCTTTCAATCAGCGTGAACATGTCTGAATGCTTTCTCTTGAGTTTAGACCATTGCTTTGCAATTCGATCATACCTTTTGCTTATGGCATGATGCAATAGCCAAGCTTTATAAAATTTTTACTCTCTTTGATTTATAATGGAGATTTTCCAAATGAACAACAGGCTTTTTCAGAAGCTGTCTACTGGTTGAAATTTCAGGTGGCGGCAATTCGTTGATTATTTAAATGGACATCAGTTCCTGCTTGGATTTGCGTTTCTCTTGTTGCTCCAATTGTTGCTGAGCAGAAGTGCGAGCTAAAGATCTCATCTGTAGGATGGAAGAATCTGCAGCATGGAAGCTTTTAAGCTTAGACTTTGTTTGGGACAGCTTTCTTATTACTTCTTAAAATATTTTTTTAATATAAAAATTAAAAATTTTGAACTAAAAAATTGCTTTAAGAAGCAATAAGAAAGCAGTCCCAAACGAAATCTTAATCCAGCACAAAAATCAGCTGCAAAGTGTCTTGAGCCGAGTCTGATTTCCTCTGTTGACTCCGCCATCTTCGGTGAATAATTCAGAGACCGATGATTCTTTATTTATTTATTTATTTTTTTTTGGGACATTTAGGCCATTTAAGGCAAACTCACACACACAACGCATACACAAAGACTCGAATCATAGACCTCTTAGTTGGAAGCCTAAGCTCTCAATCAATAGGCCAAGATGAGCTGTGTCGATGATTCTTTATGGTATGGCAAAAGAAAGCATAGTACAAGATGAAGGGTTAATATAGATATACCAATAAAATTTTCATCTTCTGTATCCGCATAATATTGTATGCAGAGCATTTTGCATTTTGCACTTGTAAGGTAAGCTTCTTACGGACAATGAAAAATAAAATTTCATTATATTTTTTATTTATTTACTCATCAAAGTCTGAGAGTTTTATGCCAATGTAAAATAATCATAATAAAAACGTTGGGACAGTTTTTTTATTGTTTTTTGAAATTTATTATTATTATTATTATTTTTTTTTTTGAATTTGAAAATTTAATATTAAAAAATTGTTTCATAAAGCAATAAAAAAGTAGTACCAAATGAAGCCTCAAATTTTAGAGAAATTATTATGTGCGAACACCGGATGGGGTCTGGAGATTAACTAAAATATGCCATATCACTCGGTACTGAGCATCGATACTTATATTTATTTATTTTAAATTAAAAAATTATTAATGAATAATAATAAATTTTGATTATATTATACTAATGTAATTTATTTTTATAGAAAAAATAGAGCTATAAAAAGGTGATTAAAAAGAATAAAGGTCATAATTTTTTGGGAAATAGAAATCATAATTTAATTATGTTTTTGTTTTAATAAATAATAAATAATAAATAATAATATTATTATATAAAATAAAAAAATATCAAAATAATGATGTTCATGGTGGTTGATGGCGGTTAAAGCGGAGCTAATTTAGGGTGTTTTAAATTTGTCCAAAAATAGTCATTTTGAACCTAAATAATTGAGTAATTTGAAAATTTCCCATTTTTTTTTTATTTCACGTTCTTTTTTGGACAAATTAAACATCAAAATTCTTAAATATGTATATTTAAAATATTTTATATTTATTTTCTCACAGTAAAGAAATTGTTTAAATCTACATTAAAGTATAGTTTCAATTTAAAAGATTTAACTGACTATTAAACATTAACTCAACATTTATGAGGGATCATTCCTCAATATATTGTGGTTAATTTATTTACATTCTATTACATCCCTGAGTTGGTTGATAATCAAAGGCTTCTTTAAATTGGAACTTGGATAGAGCTGCATTGAGTTTGATTCAAGATTGGATTGGAATGCATATGGATGTATATAGGGGAGTGAATTTCGGGTTACGATTTGGGTTTGGGTTTATGTCGAACCCGGAACTGATCTGACATTGTTCGGGTCCCGAACCCAACCCGTTTTTGCATACGGGTGTATTTTCCGGATCCAAACCCGACCAGACCCGCTTCGACAACGGTAGTCGGCAGCTGGACAAGTGGGGCCTTCGGCAGCTTCAGCAGGTAGCGGCAGCGGCGTTCGGCAACAATAGATGGCAGCCAGCAGCGGCGTTTGGTAGCTGCAGCGAGGCAACAGCCAGCTCGATGCAGCCGCAGGCGATGGCGCAACATGTGATGCAGCAATGCGACGTGCGTCACGCGGGCAACGGCTTCGGCTTGACGCATGAGGCCACGTGGGCTATGCGTGCAAATCGGGCATCTGGGATAGGCGGGTAGGCAGTAGCTGGTGCAGGAAACAAGGGCATGGGCTTTTTAGAGTCATTTCGAGTTATTCTCGGGCTTCCGGGTTAACCTGAACTCGACCCATTTTTGCAAACTAGTCGATTTTCTGGACCCAACCCCGACCCGCTTCGAGTTCGGGTCAACCCAACCCCAAAATTTTTGGGTCGAATTCAGGTCGGGTTTTCGGGTCGGGTCCAATATTGACACCTATAGATGTATACAAGTTATGCTAAGAGTAAGATTTTTAGAATTGAACTGAACATCGAATCAATGATAGGCTCAAGATTCAAATAATAGTTAAGCCATAATGATGTAAGTTATATTAAAATTAAGGGGAGTTTATGAGCATATATGATTTTTTACATTTCTATAAGGGCACATCAAATTGTTTTTAATTATGAAACTTTGTACTTTTCTCATATAATTATTATTAATAGTACACTAGACCTTTCCTAAAGAACTTTCCCATTCTTTAAACCATGTAGACTAGAGAGCAATCCTGAGAAAAAATTAGAAGAAATGATCAAAATTTTCAATTAAGAGAAAACAAAGTTTTGTTTTCATGACTGAAGAACTTAATCAATTGAAACATGAATATAACAACTTGAAATTATATTTACAATCCTTCAAGGATTAATATATTTGTCCTGAAAAAAGGAAAAAAAAAAAAAACACTTTTGGCACCATTGCTAATTACCTTGCTATGCAAAAGATTATGCCATGTGAGAAACACTCAGTAATAATTTTGAATTTCTAGAATATTCTAGACATAAATTCAAGATAAGCTGTTTTATCAGGCTCTCACTTATAACAACAGACAATTACATATTACACCTTTAAATTGGTAGAAACAAGCCTTAAAAGTTGCAAAGATCGCGTTAGTGCACCATAACAAAGTTTTTTACTTAGGTTTTGTTTGAGACGGCTTTCTTACTGCTTTTTAAAGCAATTTTTTAAATTAAAAGATTTTGTTCTAGAAAGCAATAAGAAAACTGTCCCAAACGAAACCTTAATTTTAATAAATGCGCAAGTAGCACGCAAGTCTTATTCATACATTATAGAAAGATTATTCTCTAACTCAAATATATTACTTCCATTCTCTGCACCTTAAGCATCTGTGCTCTTACAAGCGAAGGAGATCAAGAACAGACTTACCCGTTAACTTGTTGCTTTGTTGATGCTCCATGAAATCTCTATATTTGATGCCACGAAACGCAGCAGGATGTTTCTGACTTTCAACCAAAATTGGCGCAGGAACAACAACAGCATCCAGCGAAGGCCCAATCACAGTCACCACTGAAATTCTAGTGCTTTTGTTGTTTACCTTTGCCCTATGCAACACGCTCTTATACCTTCCATTGGTGACTATCTGCACAACAACAATGAAGAGAAGAAAAAAAAATGATAAGAGATTGTTTGATTCGCTATAAAGTAGGTCATAATTGAAAATTTAATCAAATTTACAGTAACTTACGGAGGCCTTCTGATGACCCGATTAGGAAAGTTGATGTATTAGATTTGACTTATGTTAAAAAAGGTAGAGGTAAACCTAAAAAGACTTGGTTAGAAAATATTAGAAATGATCTTTCTTTATTAAATTTAAATGAGAATTTGACTTTTAACAAGACACAATTGCAAAAAAGGATTCTTGTAGCCGACCCCACATAGTGGGACAAAAGCTTATTGTTGTTGTTGTTGTTGTAAAGCAGCTTAGTTGATTTTTCTCTTAAAATCTTCGAGTTCAAATCTAAATTTGCTAATTTGTTAAGCTGACGATTTTATATAAAGCCAAGCAGCGTGAAGAAAGCAAGCAGTGTGGAAAGCATGGACTATGGAGATTAGGTACATCAGATTAGAAAGTTAGGTCAGGTTGCTTCAATTGTGAGATAGAGAATAGAGAGTACAAATAATAGAAACAATTTCTTTTGAAATACAAATATAAGGCTGTTAACATCAATCCCTTCTCAAGGAACATACTGTTGGAGCTAGCTTAAAAATATAAAGGGGGGTTTACATACATACCACTTTATTTTTTACTATTTATATATTTAACACCTAAAATTTTGATATTACAATGCTACTACAGTACTACTCATAGAACAAATATGGGTGTATGAAATGAAATATTAAAGTTTATGTGATGGTAAGGGTGGTAAGAATGAAATATATGAGTTATATATTTGATATTAAAAATTTTTATGAGTGCTAAGAATGTAATATTAAAATTTTGAGTGTTAGATATGTAAATAGCATGAAATAAAGTGATATTTATGTAAATCCCCCCCAAAAAAAAAATACTGTTGGAGCTAGCTTCAAGCATTGAGTAGCCCTTTTAAAGATTATTATAGATATCAAAATTGTGACCTATAATTTGTTTTTTTTTTTTAACCTTATTTGTGATGGCTAGCTAGATGATTTCAAAACTTCTAATGACGAGCAATGGAAGCAATTGAGAAGTTAGGAAACAATGTAACATAAAAAAGATAGTTCCAATATCGTTAATTGGACATGCATACCTCCATATGATCACCGATGTTGACAAGGAAAGAGTTGGGGAGGGGCTTCACGCCTAACCATTTTCCATTGTGCATCACTTGAAGCCCATCTGTCCCGTTTTGCATGAGAACTGTGACAAGGCCGTGGTCCGAGTGAGCAGGCAAGCCCAATGCGAGCTCTGGCTTTGGGCATGGAGGGTAAAAGTTTGCCACTAGAATTTGAAAGCAAGACTTAAGGCTTAAGGCCTCCTGCATATCATTCTCCTCTAGCCCAAGGCTTTCCCATATTGCGTTAAGAAGATCTTTACCGAGCTGTCTTATATGTCTAGAATAGCCCTCCAATACCTCTCTGGTGTTGATTTTTTTTTTATTTTGTTGAAATGCATGGGAAGAAAGATGAAAAGTTAAGCAATATCTGATTTGGAGTGAAGTTTATGAGAACAAATGAGATCAGATAAAAAATTTGAAAATTTAGGCCTTAGATCATAATAAAAAAATAACAAGATACAGGTATGTTAATGAATGTTATAGTCAATTATATAATAATAATGTGCATTATAGTTAGCTATGATCAATAAGGTAAAAAAAAAAAAGCTTACCACAAAGCAAAGGGAAGAGATGAGCCTGGATGAGAAGAGTACTAGGCTTTGCTCCGTATCAGATGAACCCATGGAAACAAAAATTTTGGCTTGGGTCGAGCTTGGGTTTGAGTCTACATGAGCCACACCTACCCAAACCTTTTACATTATCGACTGCCCAAAATTTATTCAATAGGCCAAATTTGGGCTAGGCATCCGAACACTAGGGGTGGACACAAAAACTAAAATGAAAAATTGAATCAAACCATTACAAACAACTAAGTTCGATTTAGGGTGATTTTGATCAAGTTTGACAAACTGCACAAATGATTATATCGTTTGGATTCAAATTTGAGCTTTTGTCAACCTGCAATAAACTAAACCAAACTGATTGGCATGCATAAACTGAAATAAAACTAAGCCATTAATTTCTTAGAAAAAAAATGGCGTTTCATACCTTAATTGCCCATAAATTTAATTGCTTTATGGGCAGCAAGCAACTATTGAATAGATCAGGATTTCATAGCAGTGCAGTGTAGACAGTTGAGCAAATTGGTAAAGTGGATTCATTTAAACAGAATAAATATTTTAAAATAATAGTATACATTTCAGTTGGAAGATTGAAACTATTGTAGCATATGGTCACCCACACTTTTCCGTCGCTATAACATGTATGGATTGGAGTCAGGACGTAGAGTTATGTTCGGATTCCGCACAAAATAGTTTCTCCTTTTAGATAGTTAGATTTAGATTTGAGATTCAAAGCTTTGGTTTGGTATGATTTCAAACAGTATTTTATTTGGGACAAAACCTAATCGTGTCCAGCTAATCATATAGAGAAATTATTGTGTACGCAATCCGAACGTAGAGTAAGGTTCAGATAATGCATATTTACTGTTTATTTTACTGCATATTTTTTGATACATAATTTTTCGTGACAAATAAGCAGCAAATAAATAATACTCACTAAATACCAAAGCCCTACATGGGGTCTTAGTAGGGTACCCATGCTTTATTCGGACGGGCTTCGCCCACTCATGCCCACCCATGATAACTTTTGGGATGTCGTACCCATCTATACCCACTCACTTTTCATGTTTTTTGAAAGCAGTCTACCATGGACTGATGGCCTTGAAGCTTGTTGTCATTTGCTCTGATTGCGAACTTTCAAGCTGCATATCAGAATTTATCGTAGTCGCAGCGTGGTTAAGTGCTACATACTACGTAGTGAGGATTGAAGTAATATAAGATATACGGTGATTAGCAATGCATATTAATTTATCCCCCGATTTTGAGTACCCACTCATACCCACCCACAAGGTCATGGGCGTATCCATACCCACCCATACCCATACATGGGTGGGTACATGTATGGGTACCAAATGCAGGGCTCTGCTAAATACACGATAAATACGTAAAATACAATTATGTATAAAAAAATACGCAGTAAAATAAACAGTAAATACGCAGCATTCTTACCTTTCTCTATGTTCGGATTGCCCACACAATAATTTCTCCATCATATAACCACTAAATGCCCGAATGTAATAAAAAAAAAAAAAACAAATTGTGGTTCCAACTAATCCGGTGGGTAAATATGCGATTGGTAAAGGTCTTAAAATTATTGCCAAGATGCTTACGCTGTAATAGCTTCCACCTAATAGCTTCCATCTTGGCGACTTTGGCGTGAAAAAAACCCACTTAGATGCACCAAAATCAGAAGGCAATCGATAAAAAATTGCAAATGTACCTGAAAATGGTAGGCTTCGTAGGGTAATGGAAAACCGGATGCTGGAAAACCTTAAGAAAATCTCTCCAGTACTGCACATCATCCACCTTTGAATTGAAGCTCGTCCCAAACCGGATCGGATCCAGCACGTGCCGCCCCATATAATCCTGCTTCTCCTCCGCTGTCAGATCAAAGAACCCTGCACACGCGTCCATCATCGCCTTTTGCAGCTCCACTGGCACGCCGTGGTTCGAAACCTAGATCGATCAAGAACAAAAATTAGCTTAATAAGAGCCACATGGCATCTCAAACGCTATCCATTCCTTCATAGTTGCTATTTGCATAATGGTTCGACTTACAGTGAAGAATCCCCACTCCTCGCAAGCACGGCCAAGCTCACGGACAATCTGTGCACGATTATCTGGGTTCCTGCCCGAAAGCAAGGAGAAATCGATGGTTGGGATCTGTGCCTCGTCCGCGGCCTCGTTGTCATCGTCCTCGGCTGCGGCGGCGGTGGGTTTGCAGGCGATGTAATTGAAGGGGAAAGCCGCGGTGGCGACGCCGGAGTCGGAAAGTTCTTTGGCTGTGGAATATGGAAGTGGAGTATAGATCATTGCAGGGGATGACATGGCAATGGGCTCTGAGCTCGGTGTGCAATAAGCCAATAATAAGCTAGTGTAGCGACCACTAAAAATTATTAGATGCAGAGCGCGCACTGTTCGCACAAGTATCGAGTACCTAGCAATACCCAACGGTATCCAGCGTTATCGAGTGTGGGTACCGCTAGGTAACCAATACTTGTGTGGATGGTTCTCTCGTTCACACTCCACACTTAATAATCTCTCAGCAAGCACGACACACACAGAGTGAGCATGTCAATGATTATTATTCATAAAAATGATACATAATTATTTATTTATTTACATATTTAATATATAAAATTTATTTTTTATTTATAAGACACTTTAATCTCTAAATCATATTAAAATTATTTAAATTATTGAATTTAAAACCAAATGAGAAAGGGAGATGCTAATGAGTGATATTTTTGAATTAAAAAAATTGTATCAAGATATTTCTAAAATTTTAATAGGATGTACTTTGAAATTATTGAATTTATTTTGAAATTAATATTATATCTGAAGAATTTGTATTGCATACATTTCAAATAAATACAAGTAATTTTCAGTATTTTTAGCACAATCTTTATATTTTTATATATTTTAAATTAGCAGCAACTGAAATTCTTGTGAACAAGATCTCCTCGAGGTATATTTTCAGCTTATCCATTCATTAAACTTGAATATTTATAGATAACTATTTATTGTGCATGAAGTATGGCTGAATACTAATTTTTAGTCTTGTAGATTAGAAGGCGGAGCCAGAAAATTTATTTAGAGGCCTAAATTATTTTATTAAATTTTTTTTTCAACTTTTTTCATTTTAGTTTAAGGACGGCATAAAGAGTTCTAATTTTTTTTTCAATTATTATTCACAAATGTATAATATTAAATATAAGAGAGTAAACAACTTATAATTTACAATTTTAAATATAAGATTTATGATTTCTTCAAGTTAGAAATCAATTTTTAAAATATTATGTATTTTATTTTAATTCCTCAAAAGTGAGGATTTCAATTTTTCTCTCAAAATGACTGAAATAAAAAAATCTGAGTTTTTAAAGCTTTCTTTGTATTTTATAACCAACCAAATGAGCCCTTAAAGCTCTAATAAAAAATTTAAACAATTCAAGTCAGAAACATGGAAACCAGCAAACAAAGCTACAAACTTTTTCGACAAGTTATGAACTTCAGTTGCTCTCCTCTTTGAGCCAAAGTCGCTGCAAGTCAACGCCACTGGCTTTGCTATCTCCTCCTCCGCCTCCTATAATAGCACACATCAGTAAACCCCAACAACTAATCCACCAAATCCATCTCAAGTGATGATCTGCTCCTGCATCGCATATGAGCAAGAAGGCCCGCCGCCGTAGCTGCTATCCATGAATCTATGAATCTGCTTCCCTTGCTCCCAAAGGAGACTCCTTTCTGACTCCAGCGAGAGATAACCGAGGGAATGAGGGTTTATGTGCTTGAGGGTTTAAGCAAAGAGAGATTTTCAGTCTGCTGAGGTGTTTTGATTCTGGGTAAAGTGGAAAAAGAAAGTACGGGAATAAATCATGACTTGTTCATCTCTGTTTTGCGATTTGCCTGCTCGGCTTCTCTGCTTTCGTGTTTATGAGTTTGTGCGTTGCTCGTGGGTGAAGGGTTTAAATGCGGGCTTTGGGAGGGGAGCTGTGAAAGCGAGAGGGACGAAGCAGACATCTATAATTGTTATTTAATGCGGCGAGATGAGAGAGAGAGAGAGAGAGAGAGCTTTTTGGTTCGATTCGTGCGGAGGCCAAAACATTCGAATTGCGGCGCATCCAATAACTATCTACCACATGTCTATAATCATTTTCTATAAATATTTAACATAAATTTAATATATTCAAATTCTTTCTAAAAGCATAAATATATACAAATTGAACCTTACTTTTTTATCAATTAAATTAAATAGTGCCTACAAATCAAATTATGAATTATTTACTGCTATTTTTTGGATATTTATTAAGAAATTGGTATTTGTCGGTACATGTGGGCTTTTTGCGACTATCAGGTGTTCGTTTTGCAAATCGATTTCAACAAAAAAAATTAAATAAAATAAGCTATTTTATGAATATATTTTTTTATATAATTTTTTAAATTCCTAAAAATATTTCTATAAATTTTATACTGAAAATTAATTATAATAATACTATTATATAATTATTTTAAATAAAAACAAAATATCTTAAATCACTTACTCTCGCGATTCCCTATTCATTTCGTTTTCACCAAGTCAGAAAAGGCTAACAGAGGGAAAAAAAACGAAAAAGATAGGAGAGAGAAGGGGGAAAACTCGAGTTTGTGCTATTTCGAGTCATTTTTATCCGTCGGACCAACTAAGAAACTTGTTTGTCTCGAGGTAGGTCACATTACGAATATTTCAATTTTTATAAATACGAAGTTTTTATCTAATTTTTTGATCAAATTTCTATTTTCATTATCGAAAAACACGGATAACTTTGTACCGATAAAACTTTCATGGCATAAATACTTTTTATATGTCATATATAGATTGTGATTATGTACATTTTGAATATATATCATAAATTTTACAATGGGTTTTGAAATTTGTGTGACTTTATTGAATAGAAAATTATTTGAATATTTAAACATAATGTTGTAGTATAATAAGTCTTAAAATATTATTTTACAAATTCTCTGATAATTTGATTATATTTTTAAAAATGTGCATTTTGTCTAATAAGATTTTTTGTTGTCTACCATTATAGAACACTTTAAAATTCTATCACATGCTCAATTATTATTTAACTGTTATAATTGATGATATATGTGCATATATGATTAAATTATATCTACTAAGAGTTATAAAGAGTCATAATCCTCTAAAATTTTTTATGTGTCAGGAAATTGTTGGGAGATATAAGTGGTCAAAATACTTTGTGGTTCTATCCTAGATAAGGAGTATGCTATATGTTTTGGTGCTATAAGCACAAAAAGTGAGTCATAAGGGGTCAAAATTCTTTGAGGTTCTATCTGGATCTAGAAAATGTGATATGAAATGCTCAATAATATGTATTGTAATTTATTTATCTACTCAGTATTACTATTTAAATAATTGGATAATTGTTATGCTCCTATCATATTTCACCATAGTAATTTATTTGACTTTACTTAACTTATTTTAAATATTCAACAAAATATTTAATAAAACTTTTTGGAAATTTAAATTAGTTTGTATGACCTACTGAGCTGTTGTAGCTTAGTGTAATTTTGCTTCTAGTTTTCAGAATCTAGGAAAGTGAAGGAGATTATGGAGCAGTTTTTTATTATATCTGAGTTTATAGGTATTTATCTTTTAATTTTTATACATTTATGGCTAGTTACTATTCATTCATGTTCTGTAGCTTCTGCATGTAGGCATATACTGTAGTGTAGAAATTTTGACGAAATAAAAAAAACTTGTTGATGAGTTTATTTTCAGTATTTGAATGTTTTAGTAGATATGTAGTATGTAGTTATTTAAAATAAACATTGGAAGAGAAATAATGGAATTATAAATTAAATCAGAAAATTTTGAAAATTTCATTATTTTTAAAAATTGAGACATGTTAAATGCAACATATCTCGAGCCAAACAATTTTCATAATTGGGTCTACAAGTGAAAACATACTTGAATTGCTTAAAACTAGTTTTCTCTCTTTAGAATTCTTCCTCTCTCTCTAGTTGCTGCCACTATTGGGATGAAATGGATTTCATTTAGTGAAAATGATATTTAAATAAAAAATTCAAATCGAGCATCGCGACATCCAATCGTGTGCATCACAGTGCTCCTTCTAGGAGCCCACAGAATCGCAACACTGACACATTGAATTAATTGCCAAAATTTCCGAGACCTATTTTAGAATACATGCAGACTTTTACATGCACACAAAATATGCTCAGACACAAGCATAAGAGTTTTAAATGTTGAAATCTATTGGATTATCTCAAATCAGGTTGAGTTAGAATATGTAGAATTGTATACCAATTTTGAAGGAGCAATATACTGTCCCTCCAACATTCGTTACTTAACTACCATCCTTACAACCTTTGTCGTCCGACTACGTTCCCTTTGAACACTATTGCCTGAGTACAGTACCTTTAAATGTCGTCGCTCAACTATGGTCTATCCGACCACAACTGTTAGACTGTGGTTCCACCAACCTTCGTCACCCGACTATGATCTCACAGATCTTTGTCGCCTAACTACGATCCTTCTTATCTCTATTACTCGACTATGATCCTTCCTACCCGTGTCTTCCGCCAACTATGATCCCCATGACCACCATCGAGTCACTACAGTCCCTCAGACCACTGTCGTGTGACTATGGTCCATTGACCTCACTTGCACGACTACGATCCTTTCAGTCTCCGTCGATTATGTTTAATCCAACCACCGTCGCCCGTCTACAGTCCTTCGACCTCATTTCCAAATCCAACCACCGTTGTCTAACTAAGATCCTTCAACCTCAGTCGCCTAACTACGATCCATCACACCTCCTACCTTCGTCAGCTGATTGATTATGGTCCATCCGATCACTATCGTTGGACTACAGCCGCACCAACCTTCATCTCTCACTACGGTCCTACCAACCAAATAAACGGGCAAATAATCTCTTAAGAATATGCCATTGGATTCTCCCATGTCCAATCATCTGGTGTGCTCTAATGATGTAAATTTGCTACATTATGCTAACACCTTCCCCCAAGAGATGGCATCATTTCTAATCAATAACAAACACTAGTGGAATCCTTTCAATTGGGCGAGGCCCTGTGATTTTTCGTCATCTTAAGATTTTCACTTAAAAATTTTGATGTCTCTTACGATTTGTGTACCCTCTCTCTCTTGTATGTGTGTGTATTGAATCTTATACAAAACTAGGATGTTAAATGCTCCAATCCCTACTATCACGAATGTTCCGACACTCAACATATTTAAATCTGTATATTTACTTATATAATATTCAAATCTATTGATTAAATAAAAATATCATCAATCTTTGCCACAGCTGGTTGACAGTATCAATAGGCCTGCTGCATTTCGCGCTAATTGCGCATAGGGAATTCATTAAGCTACATCGATTAAGCCCAATGGAGAAATTTTGCCTTCGTTGTGATTTACAATATTATTTCGTCATGTTGAGCTCTTAACTATAGTCGCATCTTATTTTTATACGTTTTGTTTGATACTTATAGGCACTCTTTTATGTTATTTTTGAAAGTATTTTTTTATTTAATATTTGGACTCCAAGCACTTTTAAAATAGTTTTTTAATATTAAAGTTTTAATTTTTTACTAAAAAGTTCCTTCATGAAGCAATAAGAAAGTCATCCCAAACGAAGCGATTGGTACAGCTATCTGAAACAGCTTTTTAGTACAGAAATTTCTAAAATTTCTAATTAAAGAAATTTTTGTACTAAAAAAATATTTTAAAAAGTAATAATTATTTTTTACAAACGAAACCTTAGTTATAAATTCATACGTATATGCCGCATAAAGAAGACCTCAAACCCAAGCCTATGCTGACTAAGGCTTCGTTTGGGACGGCTTTCTTCCTGCTTCATAAAGCTGCTTTCTAGTACAAAAAATAAAATTTTTATACTAAAAAGCCGCTTTAAGAAGCAGTAAGAAAGCCGTCTCAAACATAGCCTAAGATAAGCTGCATTGAGAGGATCTATTATATGATCTACATCTTTGTTCTTGATGATTGTCTTGTAGAAGTGAAAGTGTCTTAATAATAATATGTTAATGTAAAAAACAAAAACAACTAATACTTAATTACACATCAAATATGTTTTTATTTAATATAAAAATAGAAACAAAAAAAAAAAAGAAGGTATTACTAACAGCCTTTAAGGATTCTTTCCCTTTGCAATTAAAGATCAACTGAAGTATTAAATTATATTAATTGTTAAGTCTTAAGTTATCAACAAAATTCGGTGACCAGACGTAATAATTGCTCACACTTTGACGGCACAAGCATGTATGTGCGACCCATCTCCCAAGTCTAGAATGGGTTCTCCATATCTTTTGTTATATATAGCCAAATCAATATATCATTCACAATGTGGGACTAAAAGAATTTTTTTTTTTTTTCTGATACTGAATCGGGATGGAAGAGCAAGAGCGGACAGCGAGATCGTCGGATCAAGAGTGCAGAGCGGGAGCGGCAGCATTCGAGAATTTAAAATTAAATTATTAAATGTTTAAATTAGTAAAATTAATTTAATAATATTCGAGCTTGTTAATCGAGCTTCTTAACCAGCTCTAATTGAGCTTCTTAATGAACTTATTCACAAGCTTTAAACGATAATATTCGTGAATACAAACAAACAAAACACTAAGCTATTCAAGCTCATTTACAAAAGTTGGTTCATCATCTGTCTTATCCTTTATTTGGTTGGCCATTTTAAGGAGATTTCAAGCTGGAATCAATCCAAAATCAGCCAAATATCTTATAAGAGGATCTAAAATAATTTAAGATTTAGCATCTTGATTTTTAGTCTCTCAATTACAAGAAACTGACATCAGAAGGGTTAAACATTCTTAATATTCTTAACACAAATAAACAAGACTAAAGTACAATTGGTCATATGTAAGGCAACTAATAAAGAAAAAGATAAGAAAAAAAAAATTTACCATGGAATCATAACAATTTCCAAGAAAAAAGATAAAAAAGAAAACAAAATAAAACAAAAAAGGAAGACTCAATCAAATTAAACTTGCAAATAATGAAGAACATAAGTCCCCTCAATCAAACAAAATTATTGTTAGCTGTAAGATCTTAAACTTGCAACCAAAAATACACCGATCATTTAAAAATAAATCAAGGATTTAAAATAATTCAGTAAAATTGAAAGAACATGAGGACAATTTGAAGATCAACATAACTGAAGGGGTAGGGCTGCAAGCGAACCAAACGTTCGACAAGCTACTCGTTGTTCGGTTCGATTAAAAGCTCGTTTGTGATCGTTTAATTAGCTAAACAAACAAACTTGAACAATATTTTAAATACTCGATTCTTAAATAAACAAACTTGAACACTAATGCGTTCAGCTCATGTATGTTCGCGAACAATGTCATTTGAAGTTCGTGAACAAGCTCGATAAGAAGCTCGATAAAAGCTTGATTCGTGTTCGATTTTAAACTCGTGAATAAGCTAGATAAAAATAATTAATATTTGACTATAAAATTAATAAATATAAATAATCATTGCCGTTGTTACATAGACAATTGCTTTCATTATAAATGTGTTTGTTCATAGATATGTTCATGAACGAATTTGTTTGATAGTTAAAAAAAAATTTAAATATGTTCGCGAACAAGCTTGATAAGCACTAAACGAACGAACATGAACTGAACATGAATCGAACATGAGCACTCATTAATTTAAATGAACCAAACATGAACACAAACAATAAAGCTCGAACAAACATGAACCAAACTTGAACAAGCTGATATTAAATGAACACAAACATGAATACTCACATACTCGGTTCACTCGATTCATTTGCAGTCCTAAGGGTATTCAAGCCTTTTCTGCGGGGGGGGAGAGCGAGGGGGGGGGGGGGGGGGGGGGGGGGGTAAGGTTATCCTTAACAAATTGATAAAACATTTGGTTCTTCTCGCTTAAACTGTTGCAGACTTTGCTATCACGAATACAACTCCGAATCCTAGCCCAATTCCCATCGTTTAATAGTTGTTTTTGTAGCCAATTAGAGTAATCACCGAGACTATAATCCTTAACCGCGACAATAGACGACCTCGCCTAGTCGCCTGCACCATTGTTGGTTACAACAAAGGTGAAAACAATGAAGCAGAAAACATGCAAATGCAAATAAATATGATAAAAAGATAAATCCAGAGAAGCCACGAAGGGGATCCACCCCAGCTATCGAGTATTTATTAAAAGTGTTCATCGTTTATCTTATCAAACGAACGAACATGAACAAACTCTTATAGAGCTAAGTCAAATATAGCTCATCAAACACTCAATTTATTTGAAGCCCCATAGCTTAGCCACGTTCTTTAAAAAATAGTTACTTCTTCTCGCATTTACTGTGTCATACTGCATGCCAGGTAGGGTTGAAAACTAACCGAGCCGAGTCGAGTATGTGAGTGTTCATGTTTGTGTTCATTTAATATCAGTTTGTTCAAGTTTGGTTCATGTTTGTTCGAGCTTTATTGTTTGTATTCATGTTTGGTTCATTTAAATTAGTGAGTGCTCATGTTCGGTTCATATTCAGTTTATGTACGTTTAGTGCTTATCGAGCTTTAAACAAACAAGCATGAACGAGCTATAAACGATCTCTACTTTTAGATGTTCATTAACTTAACAAACAAGATTTATCGAGCTTCCTAACAAACGATTACATCAAGCATGTTCTCGGACATATTTAACGAATTTTTTTAAACTATCAAACAAACACATTCATGAATATATCTATGAATAAACACATTTATAATAAAAGCAATTGTCTATGTAAAATTAAAATAACATTAATCAATATGAATATATTTTTAAATGAAGCTTACATGTTGCCTATTCTATAATCAAATATTAATTACTTTTATCGAGCTTATTCACTAGTTCAAAATCAAACACGTATCAAGCTTCTTATCGAGCTTAATGTCGAGCTTATTCACGAGCTTCAAATGATGTTGTTCGCGAACATAAATGAGCCGAACTCATTAGTGTTCAAGTTTATTTATTTAAGAATCTAATATTTAAGATATTATTCAAGTTTGTTTGTTTAGTTAATAAAACGATCACAAACGAGCTTTAATCGAACCGAACAATGAGTAGCTCGTCGAATGCTTGGTTCGCTTGCAGCTCTAATGCCAGGAATCTCGCCAACATCGAGAGGACTGGTCTCAATTGCTTGTACATGCAAACAATTAAGTAAATTAGAAAATGGGACTTTTTTTTCCTGCAAAATGGTGAAATAATGAGCTATGTTCTATCGGAAGATCTTTCCTCATTTATTGGAAGTTGGGATAAGAGTCATCTACCTCTAAATAGACAATTTCCTTATTATTTATTATTTTTTAAAAGTAATTTTTAATAAAAAATATTTATATTAAAAAGTTATTTTAGAAATAAAAAAAAAATTATTTCAAATAAAAGTAATTTTTAATACAAAAAAATTTATATTAAAAAGTTATTTTAAAAATCAACAAAAAAATTATTTCAAACAAAACCTAAACATTATTCTCACTTTCTTAACGGGGTATTATATCATCACCGTTATTACGACAAGAGAAAAGATGCGATTAATTGTCCCATAAAAGTCAAAAGAAAATTTATTCAACTTTAATAAAATTATGAAAGTTCTATAATTATGACTTGCAAAATGTTCTTCAAGAATTTCACTAAAGAAACGCACCAATTGTGAGAACAACTAATATCATGTGAGCAACAAAAACTACCAATTAAGGCAAACTCACACACACATCATATACGCAAGCTTCGAATCCAAGACGATTTGATTGTTAGCTAAAGCTTCCAATTAACAGATCAATGTGATCCGCATCAAGTCATGTAGGTTAAAACTAACAATATGCGGAGATAATACTTCAAAAAAAAAAATAATTATTTCTCAACTGATAAAAAAATATTTTTATCATCACGATAGAAAGGAGCAACATTTATATTATTAAACTTGATGAAAGACACTACGGGCGGATCCAGCCTTAATTTTAGGAGGGACAAATTTATAAGTAATTATCAGAGGTCCAAGAGAGCAGCGCCCCTTGGCGGGATTCAACCCTAAAAAGACACCCAACTTATTTTGAAAATTACAAATTAATCACAGCTTTATGAGACTCAGAACAGATTTCTCCTCTTGGTTTTGCTTCTGTAGTTGAACATATTCTTTGTAGGTGGTTTCGCGAAATAGTGCTGGTCTATTTCGAATACTGTCAACCAACTGAGGCAAGGGAGAAACTAAAGCTTCCAATGGCGGTCCAATTGTTGAAACAATTGACATCCTTGTGCTTTCGTTGTTAAGCACCACTCTATGTAACAGACTGTTATATGTCCCATTGCTAGCTATCTGTTTGCAGGATTCATGAGGCAAAATATCAGAGGTAAGAGATAGAAACTAACAAATTACATAATATATTAATTTATGTAGTTATATTTTTGTCATAATTATTACGATTAAAGTGAGACATTTTTAATTAAATTTATATTTTATAATTAATTTTTGGAAAAAATATAAAACATTGAGGAAAAATTCCTATGTTTGTTATAATTATATTTAATCTAAAAAAGATTAATTGCATAAATGGTATGATTAAGTTAATTCACTGATATATATTACTACTATAAGCATGCATAAATTTAGAGTAATATCTCAATAAAGTTCTTAGCAATACATTTATATTAATTAAATGTTAGGTAAAAATATTTAGAAATATTATTAGTCACAGAGGCTGACTTAGCCTTAATTTTCAGCAGGGGTGGCAAAATTATAAGTGTTTGTGTTGCCTCGAATTTGACTAGACCTTTCAATACAAAAAAATGAATCAATAGAATCCAAATAATAGAGACAAAAAGAAAATGATTGCTAAAGATGATTAATCATTCAATTTCTATAAAATGTATGTTAAAGTTGCCTTAAATTTGGCTCGACCCCTATTTTTTCGTATCCTTGATCGTCGTACGCTTTGTAGATATGTCAGGGGTCCAAGAGGTCAGCGCCCTTGCGAAGGATTCCGGGGCAGCTCCATAAGAACAAAATTTTGGTTGTAAGGATATTTTAGAATTCAAATTAATAAATAAAATAATGAATTCTCTTTATTATTTTTATTTGTATTTTGTTCAATGTTCTCTAACAATAACATCTTTATACAATGTGTTTAATTATGATAGGCGGCAATTGCCTAAAGATTATAATATTTTAAAATCTTTAGGGGAGCAATTGCCTAAAAATCTTTGTAATAAAGACTAAAAAATAGATGGAGATCGATAAATTACCTAAAAAATTATATAAATGAAATATGAATAATTATCAAGTGAAATATTGTACCTCCATGATATCTCCGAGGATGACAAAGAATGAATTCGGGATGGCTTCAACTGGAACCCATTTGCCACCGTGCTGCACTTGAAGGCAGGCCTTTGTGTTGCTTTGCATTACTATGGTGAGAATGGAGGAATCAGAATGAGGTGGCAAACCTAAAGCCAGCTCTGGTTGAGGGCATGGAGGATAGAGATTGCTAATGAGAAGTTGAATGCATGATTTTAATTGAAGAGCTTCCTCCATGGTGGCTTCTGGTAGTCCAAGGCTTTCACTTATTGCTCTTAAGAGCTCTATAGAGATCTCCCTCATGTTTCTTGTATATTCTTCAGATATCTTTCTGTGTTTTTTTTTTTTTTCAATATTTATTTATAAACCAAAGAATGTTAATTGATATTATCTTTTTCAAACGTCCAAAAATATATCAAAAGAAGCATCACATCGATTAATATGAGTCTTTTGAATCAAATCTGTTCTAGGCCGGCATCAGAGTTACATACATAAACAAGAAAAATTATTCTGTGCGGATGACGAACGTCATCTAGAGACCAACCAGAATGCATCACATCACCCCTTCAGTCGGTACCGCAGCTCGGTACTGTTCAGTACCACTGACATGGCTGCACCTGATTCTCCTCTGGACGTCCGGCCTCCGCACAGAATAATTTCTCCTCCAACAAAGCCTCAATAAAAAAACTTAACAGAAGATTAGAAGGAAAAAAAACCTGAAATTGAGAGGTTTGGCTGGATAGCTGAACACCGGATGAGCGATGATCCTTAAGTAATCCCTCCAATATCGAACATCCACAGCAGCTTCGTTAAAGCTCGTTCCATATCTAATGGGCTCAAATAACTCTTGTGCCATATAATGTTGTTTCTCCTCTATTGTTAGATCAAAAAACTCATCAAATGCATCCTTCATGGCCGTTTGCAGGTTCTCTACCATGCCATGATTAATTATCTGCACTAAGTAGGCTTTCTTTTAGACGTCATAAAATTTTTGTGAACATAAAACTCATCCTAATAAAAATTTGATTGGAATATTTTGTATTAGGATTTTTTTTTTTTTTTTGGAACCGGAGTATCAACTTCGCAGCCACCCCCAAGAGGATGCGCTTGGCGGCATAACTAATCCCTTGACGAGCCTGGCCAGCAATCAACCCCACAAGTGCAAGACCACATAAGGAGTCGAGCCGCATGAGAGGGAAATCGAACATGAAGAATCCCATGCTGGCCCACCAACCCAGCTAAGCTCGATGGAGCACTACAGAAAAATCATCTATTACCGGCGGCACTTTCCGGCGGTTAAAACCGGTGGTCACACGGCCGGTTTAACCACCGGTAATTCCGGTGATTCTTTGACCGCACGTAATTGACGATTTTCCTGTACTGAAGTTTGACTTAATTTTTTTCCCGAAAAAGATTATATGGCGAGGCCACAAAATTTTATGTATATTGGCTATGGGAGTTGACTGTGTGGCTACCAGGATCACTTACTGTGAAGCATCCCCAGTCCTTGCATGCCTTGCCAATATCTCCAACAGTTCTTGATCTTTGGCCAGAATTCTGGCTCATTAAGAAGGAGAAGTCGATGACTGGAATCTCTTTTCTGATGATGATCTCAGCTGCTTCAGCAGTCGGATTGCGAGTGATAAATAGCGAAGGCAAAGAGGCTAAATCAGTGAGTTCTTTAACGTTGGAGTACTTACGGATCAAGGGATTACAAGATGTGGCCATGATAAGAAAGAGATGAAATCAAGAAAGAAAACTAATGAGGATGAGATCTGTTACTGATAAGAAGAGATATATAGAGAGAGAGAGAAATGAAAATATACCTATTTCATAAATGGATTATTCTTTCCACTCAAGGACATAAATATGAAGTGCTATGCATCATAAATATAGATGCTGATGAGCGCTATGGATGATTTTTTCTTTTTTTTTAGGGTTAGCAGCTTACCATCGTCCATCAAACTCTTAGGAGATATTTCGACCCCTTTTTTTTTTTTTTTTTTTCCTTTGCTTTTCATAAACTAACATGTTTAACTATTTTTTTTTTTTTTTGTTAGTTTTTGAAAAAAAAATTGTACTAGAAAGCTGATTATGCAATAGTTTTACATTTTTTTTTTTTCAAAAATAACTTCATATCCAACTTTATAAAATGTTATAGCCATTCCAAACAATTTCATAATTGTCTTTAACTTAAAAACTTTTTTAATTTATTATTTATGAATAGTAGCTTCTACATTCATCTTATATTTATCTTTTGCACTCGGTTATTTATTTGAGGTTTTAGTTTAAGATAGTTTTCTTAATGTTTTGTAAAGCGATTATAAATAATATACAATAGAAAACAATTTTTTTGATTTTTTTTTTATGAAATAAAAAAAGTGCTAA